TTTGACGTACCTCTCGGGGTAAATTTGAAAATTGGGATCGACGTTTTAGATGGTCATCAGTCAATGCTAACGCCAATTCCTTTAGAATTATTCTTCTGATGTATTTCTCGTGCTTATTGTTGGCAGTATAAACTATTTGGGCATTTATTCCAGATACATTCATTGGGGCAAAAAAATTACCAAGGGCCAACGACGTGTATTTCGAGCTACATCATAGGTGGCGCAAAGTTTGTCTACAGTATCAACTCCGACCTTGGTAGAGTTGTAGAAAGTGATGATTTCAGGTTTGTGTTGATCCCTAGTTTTAGAATTTATGGTGTCGTCATGGTGCATGCTAGAAGCTAGAATGACATTTTTACTCTTTTTAGGTACATAAGAAACAATAGTACAGTCCTCTTGATAGCCAAAGAGACTTGATGTAGCTGGTCGATGTTTCGCATTCACATGCTCTCTTTCGTGCTCTCTTTCATGCCGTTTCAATAACCGTCAAATTGTGATTTTTTTTCAGTTTTTCAATAAGGGGAAATGACGTAAACCAATTATCGCATGTTACGTTGCGACCAGTGCTTGAAATAGGAGCAACTAGTCTCTCAACAACACTACAAGCATCATTTTGCATACAATAAGGCCCAGCTGGTTGTTGTCCAACATAAACTCCCAAATTTTGTGTGTACAATGTTTTTGAATCTACCAGCACAAATATTTTAATTCCATATTATTTGTTAGGCTTATTTGGGATGTACATTTTGAATCTGCACCATCCCCTGAACACTTCCAACTTTTCATCAATTGTTGTGTATTCGCTAAGCGTGTAGTTTCTTTTATAATTTTCCACCACGATATCGTATAAGGCTCGTGTATAGGAGCCAATTTGTCGATAACTTGTCGTTCTTCTCTTGTATCTTTATCGTCAAAACGCAAGTATCGAAGCAAAAACAAAAATCGATCTTTGGAAATAGTCAGCCAGAACCTCTCAACGCCGGTACCTTTTCTGTCCCACAGTTCCTCAACATTGAGGCGACTACTCCGTAAGCAACCAGCCAAATATAACAAACCCAAGAGAGCTTTTATTTCAACGAGATCAGTGGGTTTTACATCCCTGGCTCTTGAAAATCTTTTGGATACGGAATTGATTGTCTTGTTAGTATTTTCAACAATACATTCTAAAACCTCAGCAGAAAAAAATAATTCTCAACATTCCACTGGAGACTTTGCATTTTCTCCTGCAGGTCACACATCCTGGAAGATGAATAACTATGTTAGATCGTCGTGTTCTAATTTTCTTCTTAGGAACATATTTCTTCCACACCGTTTGCCCATCTTTGTCGTTAAAACAGGAGAGTCGAGGTTGTCTTTTCAGAGTTTGAACTTCACCGTCGTCTTCATCACAAGATTGTTCCGTGTTCGGTGTTTTCAAACCTCTCCTCGATAGCATCGTCCTCCAAGTCCGATTCATCATCCACATACTCTTCTTCTACATCTACAGTCGAAGTAAACGTTCCTGTTCTCTTTCATAATCCATCTAAAATAAGAATTGCTGTAGATTACATTTTATCACTAAACAAAGCACAACATTTAAAGTTCAGCAACAGTTGCGTCACCACACGCGCCGGATCTAACAGACTTTATATCGAGTTATACAAAATATTCGATTGCCACCTACTCTACGCTTCGGCGTGTGAAACTATGTCTAAAAGTAGGAAGCTATACGATGTAGCAACCCCCATTTGTATTACGCTACAGATTGCGTCTGCAAAATTGAAGCGTTGGGTCTGTGAGACTTGACGCGGAGGGGTCGTCTACAGCATAATCCATAGCTTTCGGAGTTTCCACGCTATCAAAAACTCGCCGATTCCTCGACTGAATGGACTGCCGAATGGAAGGCACCTGCAAATCTCTGCGGATGGCTTCATTCCGCACGAACCAAGGAGCATTCACAATCCTCATTAACTTGTTTTGTAATCTCTCCAGAATGGAGATATACGTAGCCGCTTGTCCCCAGACGCCTGAAGCATACATGATGACAGGCTTGAACATCGTATTATAGATGGTAATATTGTTCTTTAAACTCATTTTTGATTTTTTGTTGATCAGAGGGTACAGACTAGCTATCCGACCCTCGATCCTTGACTTAACGTACGTAATGTGCGGGTTCCAAGTGAGCCTACGGTCTATTAGAAGGCCGAGGTACTTTACCCGCGCTTGCCAGTCAATCTCCCTTCCAGAGATTCTCACTCTTCTGGCCGGAGAAGATTTCAATCTTCTCTCCTGAAAAAGGTAAGCGTGGAGGTGCTGCTATCTAGGTACTGCCGAGCACACAATTTGTATGTTGACGGAAATAATAGACTTGTATTACGTTGGCAAAAGTAAACTGATTCAAATGGCGCTTATTTCAATTGATTTTAATCAGTTTTCGCCGAGATATTACAGTTTAAAGTTGACTCATAAAAACGGACAAAACTTTTGGAACAACCTAATATATGAACAAAAAAACGCAAATTTGAAGTGGAATATGTTTTTGAAGCACACTTCTTGTTGCTTACTTTTTTTCTCAAAAGGACAATGAATAAAAACAGAACACAAAACAAAGAAAATTGGATGAATGAAGAGGTAATGAACACGAAAGAAAAATTAAGTACATTACAGGCTCTCGGTAATAAAATTTCAAAACTGTTTTAAATGAATATAGGGAATCTTATGGATCACTTCTAAATAAAGTAAAAAGTGACCACTACAACAATCTGATACAGAAAAAGTGATATCAAATCGAAAACTACCTGAAGTATCATCAATAATCTCAATAACAAGTCAGCCATAAAATGCAATTATTTTACCTAATAGTTGTGGAAAGTATGTAAATTTTGGCAATTACCATTGGGTAGCGCATCAGGAGTTCTTTCCGCACGGTTCTACAGTCAATATGGAGTATTATCTTGAAATTATGCGCCACTTACGAAAAGAAAATCGTCCAAGCCGAAATTGCTGCACCTGGCGGATTGGGCACATCATTGATAGAGCCATCCAACGGCTCTGAAGCAGGAAGCGGTAGATAACTACCACTCCTTTTTATATAGCCGTAAATTCTTGATCAGGAAATACCACTCAGCACTTCGGTGGATCGAAAAGTTACAAACTCACGATTTTGAAGTTAAACATATCGGAAAAGAAAGAGTCACGGAAACACAGATAGCCTCTCAAGAAGACTATGCCTGATATCCGGATGCAAATTTTGGCAACGCCAGGAGGGCAAGGATACTCAGCTACCAGAAGAAGAACTTCCCACCAGCTGTGGCAAGGTAGCGGGCAGAGGCTCCTTTATGGGCAGCTCTGATGGGGAGATAAGCTCGCCCACCTACCGCCGCTTCGGGTTCCCTTTGACCCAGAGGGTAGCAACCTGTAAGGGTCCTTTGTCCAGGGATATGGACTGAAGATGTAAGGTACCATCTAACTAAGGTGTGATACGATCTTAAGAAGACACTACCTTCATTAAGAGGCAAAACATCATGGTAGCGCAGAAGGAAGATCCGGTATTGAAAACTGTACGAGAATGGATTGACAAAGGAGTGAGGCCGGAATGGCAAGAGATCTCCAAGTAGGACCAGCAGGAAAAGAATTACTGGCTCCAAAGGGACTCCATGTACATTCGAGATGACCTACTCACTCGGAAAGCCCGGGGGGAAAAACTCACAAATTCCAGATCACATTTCAGAGTAAATAAAACTCTAGCGAAAGTGCGTGAGAGGTACTACTGGATCAGTTGCCATCGAGACGTGGAAGAGTGGTGTAATCGCTATGACCTGTGCTCTTCAAGAAAGGGCCAGAAGACAAGGCAAAGAGGGAGGTTGAAGCAATACCTCAATGGGCGCCCTTTCGAGAGACTAACAGTTGATATTCTGGATCACTTCCTATGACTACATCCGGTAGCAAGTACCTTATGGTTGTGATGGACTATTTCTCTAAATGGCCTAAAGTAGTAGCTTCACCCAAGCAAGAGGCTAAAACGGTGGCGAAAGCACTCTTGCAGAACGTTATTGCCAGAGAGGGAGTATCCCAGGAACTACACTCGGATCAGGGACGCAACTTCGAATCAGATTTATGGAAGGAAAATGAGTTTTGTTAGGAATAAAGAAGACAAAAACAACTGTTCTTCACCCGCAGTCCGATGGAATGGTCGAGAAGCATAGTCGAACCTTAAATAACTATCTCTCAATGTTTGTCTCTGAAAACCAAAGGGGCTGGAATAAATCAGTTCCTCTATTTCTGTTGGTATAGAGGAGATCCCAACATGACGCACAGGGTACACACCATCCATGTTATTAACTGGTCGAGAACTGAAACTGTAAAGATGTATTGTGTGGCAGCCCATATGATGATTCTCAAGAGGTACCTATTTCAGAGTATGTGAGTGACCTGAAGGAGACACTGAAAATTGTATACGAATTTGTCAGATCCAAATTACAGCTTTCCAGCGACAGGATAAAGATGAGATTTGACAAAAAGTCTCTGTTGGTGAGCTTCAAGTAGGGCGATGCAGTGTGGCTCTACCAACCCCATCGTCGGAAAGATTTGTGTCCCAAGTTGCAGAAACCATAGCAAGGACCTTACTTGGTAACAAAAAAGATTAAATATTTGAAGTTCGAGTTGAATTGTTTCTTGTATTTGAAGTGAAGTAAAGCTAAGTTTGATTATTTTAGTTAATTATTGGTGAACCCACGACGTAAAACGTAACATTATTTTAGATTAGACTAGTTGGTATTGATGACTGTGACATTTTTCATATTTACATTTTTTTCAGTTCATTTTTATTTTTGGTGAGTCGTACTCCATGTCTTGAACTTTGCAACTGTATAAATTTTGACCTTCAATGAAGTCAATGTATCTGTTTCCATTTGCTGAATACACTAGCGCCATCATCGGTAGAAATTGTTCCCTATTCAAATTCATTGGAAGGATGTGTCGGTGTGGCACCACTGTTAACGGTAGGTAGAAATCAGAATGATATATGACATGTGTGTGAATGACAATTTCTCCATCTTATAAATAGAATAAAGAAAAGCAGTTTTGGTTTGTGATTGAATTGTTATAGAGTGAAGAGTTGTGGTTTTGGACTTTGATTACAATTTTGAAAAGGTAAGTTAAATATTTTTTTATTTGATTATAGAAACTAATGAAATGTTTATAAACTTGAATGAGTCAATATTGTTGTAGTTTCCAAAGGTAAAAATGAGTACATTTATGAACAATTGTACTTGATGATAGTAAAATAGCAAGGTTGATTCATGCACCAGTCTTAAATCGTAAAAATTCATGTTTTCCCTATGTTACAACCAAAAACTTACGAATCATGCACATATGAGTGAATCTGTGTAACATCCATTCTCTTGCATAAATGTTGCTACTGAAAATAAATTATACAATCTCTCAGAATTCAGTACATATTTCGACTCAAGGTCTCCTTATGCACCCATTCACAAGAAATTGTAAGCAGTTAATCATTAATTTTCAGCGGAAACATTTGTTTCCGAGCATTGATATTTTATATATTCTTACTCATGATATGTGCAAGTTTTTAGTAGTAACGAATGGAAAATATGAATTCTTAAGACTTGAAACTTGTGACAGAATAGAATAACAATTGATTTTATTTTGATATGTTATTGTGAATATTTGATAAATTCAACATCCTCTGATATTCAGTAGTACTTTAGAAGTAAACTTATGGTCTTTACAGAATCCGGCTAATGTTAATAACAATATCAAGATGAATAATGGAAATGGATTAAGATTTGCCAACAAAGATGAGGAAATTCAGTATTGGAAAAATCTAGCTGAAGATTATTTACAAGAGTAAGTATAGTGAGGTAGATTTATAGTTGATAATTGTACCATGAGCTGAAAACTCCAGAAAATTAGCTGATTGAACAATATAATTTTTTTCCTATTCTGTTGCCATCAACTTATATAGGGTCTTTCATTAAGATAGAAACGATAGTTAAGTCTATTTAAAAGTATTGTCGACTTTTCTGTAAAAAATCTGCATAATTGTAACTCTAATGAAAGAGTAATGTAACATTACAATTTAATTGTTTGATATCATGATTTTTTTCTATCAAATAAACGAGTAGGATGAAGCAAGATCATTTTTTTGTTCACAAAGATGATTTGGAGCTTCATTAACTTCTATATTATATGCGAGAGCTTTCGATGTGCTATCATCTTCATAACTCTACTCAGACTGAACATTTTATCTTCTTGCTTGTTCTTTTATACAGGTATTTGTCATCTCCTTTCATCCAGATGTCTCTTTAAGATTGCCTGTGCTTAGGTTACATCAGATAATATCCTTTGTGTTGGTGTTTCTCTTAGTTTATTGTTTCTAGGAATGTGTATTGTTTTGTGGAGTATATTAAATGTTAGGTCTTGTTGTGCCTTGATTTGATCAAAAAGAACTAACATTCTATATACTCTATTAAACAATACACATTCCTAGAAGCAATGAACCTAGAGAAACACTAACACAAAGGATATTACCTGATGTAACCAAAGTACAGGCAAATTTGAAGAGACATTCGGATGTAAGGAAAGGACAAATACCTTCACTAAGGCGTTCTAACCGTATAAAAGAACAAACAAGAAGATAAAACGTTCAGTTTGAGTATAGCCATGAAGATGATAGCACAGTCTGCTATCGAAAGCTCTCACATATAATAACTAGAAGTTATCGAAAATCCTTTTTGTGAACAAATGTTAATATTCAAACTTTGAAAATAAAGGATAACTAGTTGCATCAATAAAAAAATGTAATATAACAGTCCCCTTTAATTTTTTTTAGTGCTGAAAGGATACAAAAAGAATCGGATGAGTTCATAACTGAATCCCAACAATTAGATAAGGAATATGAAGCCACTATTGAGCAGAATGAGAAAAAAATCAAAGAACTGACACTGGTCAATAACAGAGCTCAGAACGAAATAGACTCTTTGAGGGTAAGTTTCTACTTTATTGCTATGAAATATAAATATATCGTTGTTGCTGATTTTAGATCAAAGTCGAACAAATCAATAAGGATAATTGCAACCTTGAGACTGAGATTACAAATTTAAGAAAGGAAAAAGTTGAGATGGCCAAATGCATTAGAGATTTAGAACAAAAAAACGATGATTTGGAAAGATCGAGACGAATAATTGAGGCCGCCCTTGCATCAATAGAAGCAGCTTTCAATAGTGAAGTTGAACGAAATGCTATTCTCGAATCTGAGGTGGATGAGAAAGAGAGCCTCAAAGAGAAATTGCAGCGATTTGCGGATGAAACGAGAGGTATATTTCTGTAAAAATTAATGGTTGAAAAGTTTCAATATCTCCTTAGACCAACTTTTGTTGTGAAACAATAATTTTCCGATTTTGATTGAAATATGATATACGAGGTCTGTTTAAAAAAAATAAGGTGAATTTTTATTTTTCTCAAAAAATATTTATCTATTCATCAAGCCTTAGCTTTTTTCCATTCTTCAAAGCAGTTCAGATATGCACTTTCTGGTATGTCCCTTGAGCTCTCCCAGTGATTTGGTTTTTATCTACTCAATCGTCACAAAACGCCATCCTTTCATAGGTCTATTCAATCTTAGGAACAAGAAAAAGTCGCAGGGGGGCAAATCGGGCGAATACGGTGGCTAAGGCATGATTACGGCGTTGTTTTTGGCCAAAAATTTATAAACAAGCAATGACGAGTGAGCAGTTTCGTTATTGTGAGGCAAAAGCCATGAATTGTTTTTGGTATGGCTTCTCGCAAGCTGTACATAACTGTATGACCATGTGGCAAAAACTCCCGATGCCCTACACCACAGTAATTGAAGACAGCAGTGAGCAAAACCTTGATATTTGATCAAACTTTGTGTGCTGTTTTGGTCTTGGCTCTACAGGGCTATTCCATTGGGACGATTGGACTTTGGTTTCAACGTCAACCATATACCTATGATTCATCAGCAGTAATAATAATAATAATATTTTTTAGCCATTTCGGTACTTAATGTACATATGGGTAAGTCAATAGAAGTACTATATAATATAAAAACAATCAAAACCAGTATCATTTTCAATAGCATGAAACAAACCCATTTCATCGTACCTACTAGAGTGTTTAGTTTTAACTTTATGTGATAGTTCTATTACCTCTTGAGGAGATATTGGCTTTGCTAACATTGACTCAAAATTATATTTTATTGAACATGCCAGCATAATCCACTTATACGACCAGCCACGTCTTTCCTGTTACTTCATATAGATATGCTTTATTAGACTGTTTTAGGTTGTTTCAAAATCAACCTATTCCTGCTGAGCCATTATGTTTTCTCATTGACCATTTGCGTTACATGACTTTTTTCGTTTTGCCAGGCTATGTTTCATCACCTATTAATAAATTTGTCTCATTATAAATATTACTGAAGTTTTTTCCCCAACACCAAATCGTTATTTTTAACACCTCGACACGTGTTTCGATCACCAAGTGATCATCTTCAAAGAGGAAGATTAAAACCTCTTCTTCCTCTTTGAAGATGATCTCGGTCTTGTTATTTAATTTTTTTTTACAGCCCTTCTGAATTTCGGAGTGCTAGGAAGATTAAAACCTCTTCTTCCTCTTTGAAGATGATCACTTGGTGATCGAAACACGTGTCGAGGTGTTAAAAATAACGATTTGGTGTTGGGAAAAAACTCCAGTAATA